TGACAGACATTATGCCACAGATGCAGAGTAGCTAGGCGGGCTGGTTTTTGTGATGCAAAAATAATACAATCTAGGCGTAACCTAATGGCTACAAATGCAGGGTACAGGGATTGATAGGATTTAGCCAGAGCTTGCCTGTATTTATTTTTGTCCTGTGCTAGAAGCCTGGCTAAATGCTGGCACATCAAATTTGCCTGCAGATTGCACATCATCTTCTGTCCTCTAGTTGACAATAATACAGAGAGTTTGAGTCAAGCTATTGATTGAATTGATAGGTCCTCCTGAAATACTTGCCAGTGGTATATAGTGATATATACTTGTTGTGGTTTAAACCCAGTCAGGTAACTTGTTCACTCACTCCCAGTGAGTGGTACCGAGCTGACAGCAATCGAGGTCCGTGTCCCCCCCCACCGGGGTTCTCCCCCACTCCCGGAGGAACGGGGAGGGGGATCGAAAAAAGAAGTGCGACTCCCACGGGTTGAGACAAGAACAGTCCAGCAACCAATGTACAACACAAATCACCACCGCTACTATCAACTACAACAATGATAAGGGAAAATAACAAGGGAGGAGAATACGATATCACTGGCCAAGAGAACGAGTCCCACCCGGAAGCCCCTGTCCTTCCGGGTAACTCCCAGTTACCCCCCACCCCGGGCATGACGTGCTGTGGTATGGAATACCTCCCTGGTTAGCACGGGTCAGGCGCCCCGTCTCTGCTTCATCCCAGCTTCCCCTCCTCCCTGGCAGAGCGTGAGCCTCACAAAGTCCTTGGTCAGGGTAAACATCACTTAGCAACAACTGAAAATATCGACTTCACCAGCACTGTTCCCAGGCTGGAAGTCAAAACACAGCACTGTACCAGCTACCACAAAGGAAAAACATGACTGCTACTGCTGAACCCAGGACAATACTATAATTTGTGTGAAAATGATACTGTCTGTATTTTCTATTTATGAAATACAAATGCTGATGTTCTAGACAGGCTTGGGCCTGTGAAAAGCATGTCATGTGGTTGGTTTTGCCGTGATTTGATTTCAGTGTTAAAAACCAGAGCATATGCAGTTTATTGCTGTAATGAATCAGAACAATACTCCCCACAATGCAGGTCAAGATTATTCAGAGATTACTTAGGTTTCTTTTTGCAGGAAAAGGGCGAGTTGTACAGTGCAGTCCCCCAGCTGTAATCCACCTTGTTGCTGTGCCCAGTTTACAGTTGGGCTCTGCAGCCTTTCCTGCTGATTTTTGTATGCATGGTTGGCTTCATCACTGCTCATCTGTTGAAGAATGACTGACATGCTTTACAGTCATGTATTCCTATAGAGTTTCTAGCTTAATTTGGTGGCAAATCACCCTCAACAGAAAGATCTACTCAGACGTCATTCCTAGGATTAACCCCTCACAGTATCTTTGATCTTTAAAGTTCCAAGTGACTGGATTCCTAATTCACCCAGTTGTACATTCAGTGGCAGACAGAGCAGTGTACTTTCTGAAAGCATTATGTGCTGCACAGCAGGATATGCATGCAAGCGGAACTGCTGTAACAATACTAATGATGATTATTGTAGTGATGGTCTGTGTCTGCACTGCAGTGATTTACTGTTGTTGTAAAGGAAAAAAGGTCTGGTCTACAATGTTCAGGAAAAACTCTGCTGGAACTCCCCTAACAATCAGCTTCTTAGTGAAAAATGCAGAACAGACTTAAGTCTCTCATGCCAGTAAATAGCTTCTTTCTCTTCTTTTCTATCCCTTATCCTTTACAGTTTCATGAGGATATGGAATTGCATCTGGTTCACGCTAGGGATTAGATACAGGTGTGACTGTGAACTGCTTAGGTTGAAAAGCTACCTGGAATTAGGATAAACTTTCGTGGTCCCTCTACTTCTGACAGTTTTTGTTCCAAGTACTGCTCTAACACAGCCATGGAAAAGTAGCTGCAGTTCTGGCCTTAGTTTACAGCTGTCTCTTCAGGCTGCAAGTTAGGTAGTATCATCAGGATTTAAAGAAGTGAGTGTCAAGACTGTTTAGAGGTTACTGAAAGAACATAGGACCAAGGGCACAGTAAAGCAGCTTTGGAAATCCAAAACTGATGAATGCTGTAAGTAGAAGTTTGTCTATGTTGTTTCTTAGCCAAGTAAGATTAAGGCTCAGAGGCCGACTTCCATTTCCCTGTGTTTGAGTAACAGTATTACTTTCTACAGGAGTACCACTGAGATGTCAGCTGCTGGGTTCTCTGAAAGAAGTGTCACGAGGGAAGCCTTGTATCATGGCCCTGAGACAGGGTTTGCCTCTGGTTCCACAGCTGGGGGCTGTGTGGACCTTGGAAAAGGTAGAGAGCAGAGGGGCTATCTTTGATCTGTTGGCCCCCTGCTGTGGACACCAGCTCCCTGTGTGGCATGAGTAGGTGTAGGACACTGTTGTTTGGGGTTTGCTATTGTGTGTGTGTGGTTTTTTATACCAAGGAAAACCCACAGGCAGCTAAAGGGAGATGGGGCTTTACCCTGGGAAGGTTTGGCAGGAGGCTGCTGCTTTCTGTAACTGTCTCAGAAATACAAGTGGGGAATTCAAAGAACAAGACTGATGAACAAAGAAGGCAACAGAGTGGAACCAGTAACAGCCCCAGGGAAAACCAGAAGAGACTGGGGAGAGTGTTACAAAGTGCTCATCAGATTTACATGCTAATAGTAGGGCTAACATTGTACATGATTAACACCTCACTTGATTGAATCCTGTCTGTATGAAAATGTATAGATTTAAAGTTACACTTCTGTCACCTGACACTCAGGGGACAGAGAGGTTCTTTTTAGGGATCCTTGGCAGAATGGTAACAGCACTAAGTTACAGTTACAATTAAAGCTTTTTTTTTTCTTTTTTCCTTAAGATACTATGATTAGTATAGCACAGAATTTATGATTAGAATGGTACAGGATTTCTCCAAGCAGAATCAATGTAGTACATCTAAGTGGCATAATACAGAATCTATAACACAATTTAATTTACAATTTCTAATCACCTGGACCATCTGAAGATCAGGTGTTAATACCTGGTTTGCTGTATCAATATACAATCATTATCTAGCTTCAAATCATACAAAAGAATGAGTCACTCCTTGGAGGAAGTAGAAGACACAGTGGAGGTGTCCTGGGCAGGTCCTAGTCTCACTCCCTGTCCAGCAGCAGTTCTGGTCCATGTTCCCCGTTAGGACTTGTGTCTGATTTTACAGACGGTGCACTGGTGCTGTTACCATCTTTGTTCTGTGTCAGGGTCATCAACACCACCAAGCTGTCTGGGTGCCTGGGACCTTCAAGGACAGTAAGGACAGGAGTAGTCGGCCTCATGCCCATGAACCAAGGCTGGTAGGAAGGGGAAGGAGAAATCTGTTTCCTTTGTCTACTTGGTGCACAAGACCTTCAGGGCCTGAAAATTATGGGAAAGGGAATGAATACATGATGTGGTTGACCCCAGAGGATGGCTGCTTCCCTCATAAAATGGCACTAGTTACTCTAATGTCAGTTATGCTAACTGCATTGAGTAGGGTTTAGGAGAAGGGTGTGTACTGGTCACAGTTCCTTTGAGAATCAGTATCTTAACTTCTTTTAATCAAATATTAACAATCTGGTTATTCACTGTCTCTGTTCAGTTTCTTAGTCACTGCTCAACTGAGAGAAAGTAGAAATTCTTTGAGCAATTACAAAGTGGATGTGTAAAATTTTGTTCTCCGTGGTGGAATTTTTGCTCCTGTACTGCCCTCAGTGAACAGAGCTGCTTGCTTCTTCAGCTTTCTTTTATTTCCCTGCAATACAGATAAAGCCTGTCTGTCTTGTACTGTAAGGTTTCTGAGCAGTTGCAGCCAGGGTGTTAAATCTGACAAATGTCATACCCACTGTATTGCAGTGTTTGTTGTGTACTTGCCCTGTTTAAACCAGAATACCCTGCAAAGTCAAATGTGAAGGAAGAATGAGACAAAGACTTTCTGTAGCTCTGAAGCATTTGTGTTATTACTACATGAAACTGCTAGGCAATCTGCTTTGCAAGGTGGAGTTTATGACATCTGTGATTACATGCTGCATACTGAATTTGGTAAGAGTTAACTGGGGAAAGCAACTTGCTTGCTAACACTCTGAAATATAGTATGCTGTCATTTAATATCAAATGTAAAATACTGACACTTCTTTGACACTTCTGTAAGAAATTACATTGTCAAGAGCTTTTGGTAGACTGTTTAGAGAGAATCAACTTGGAGTTAAGATTTTGACTGCCCCTGGTCTTTGGGATGCCATGGCAAGGAAGCACTGCTTCCTTCAGACCCATGGCTGTGGTTCTAAGGTAACTCCTAGTGTCATCTCCCTGCCATGAAAGGCTACAGAGATGGTTCACTAAAACAAAATCAGCAAGCTGGTGTTTCAGAACAGTTACCAATGCTGAATCAGAGGCTTTACATTTTTTACCACTATAAACAGAGAAAACTGAATACTGCGAAATATTTACACCAAGAAAAACAAATTTATTGCTGTGCCTCAGAGAAACATGAAGTACGTGGAGTGAAGCATGCTGTTAATATTGCATAATCAAGTTGTCTGGGCTTTTTTGACAGTGATTTTTTCCAGTGAGTAAAGCTTTTTCTTTGCATTGATTTTTCCCCCCTCTGCTCCCAATTTGCTAACTCTAAGTTTTCCTCAGGGTGCCTGAATCATAGCTTATGAAATACTGCTCGCTGTTCCCTGCAGGGCCCTCACAAAGAGCCACAGAAAACTTCAGTTCCAAGTTCACTGCCTTAGCATACTGTTATGCTATAGAAAGGGCTCTTAATGCAGTGAATGGCTTCTGAAAGATGATCATTTTCACCCCTGTGCCCACTTTTGTGGGATGTGTGGTGATGACTATCTGACAATCGCGTGAAATTCTGCAGCAAAAAGAGGGAAGAAATTTTATATTTTGCTGTCTTAATCCATGTTCCTCTATTTCAGTATCTCTGTGTATGATACATTATCAGGCAATAGTTTAGAATTAGTCAGTTTATTTCCTATATATTAACTCAATGCTTATTGAAGTGGAAGACAAAATATAAAGCAGATACAGAAGGTTCATCATTTAGAACAAGTATTTTCCTGTAACACAAATAATACAAAAAAAGCAAATTCCGGTACTTACACACACTTGTATAGCATGTCCATACACAAAGTGTCTTAAAAAATAATCAGAAACAGGTCAGGTTATGATGTTTCCAGAAAAGATGGTTTGCATTATTTTTGCATTGCTTTTCAACATGGAAATTCGGTATTTGTTTTTACATCAGCCATTAAATCTCAGTATTTATAATATGCAATTTTTACAGTAATGGCTACTTAATGTTATTTTAAAATTACTCGTAGGAAGACACATTTTTCTAGACTTTAATTACGAAACAATTCCTTACGAAACAATTCCCTACCTTGCTTTCAAGGCATGCTGGATTTACTGTTTCTTTCACCTGATTTAATCATGCATGATACAGTAAAACTGTTGTAAAACTGTACATAAAAAATACAAGTGTTAAAGTCTGGGAGAGAGAGAATAGTCAAAGGCAGCAAGGATTTCACCAGCATCAGCAGGTGAATTACATTTTCCTGCTTCACCTCCCTTCACCTTAGGTTCATTACATTTCAGTTTTCAGCTTCATGAAAGAAATGAATCTCTGAATTTGCTGTTGCACAACCTTTCAGAGGTTAATTTTGGCCCAATTTACACCTTCTATACACCGATGTTTCAGTAAAGTTATAGAGAAATCTGGTTGGAAATTCAGATTTAATCCATCTAAATCTGGATTTTTTTTCCTTATGTTTTCTCCTATTGCATATCTAGTCACCTTGAAGTAACAAAATTATTTTGAGTTATTTTTCTGGTCCTGGCTCAGAAGAACTCGGCTGGATTATGCCCCAGCCTTCCAGTATCCTTGGTCAGGATCATATTGCACATACTTTAAACAGTACTGATTTCCTTTGTGTATGGAATATTTTCAAATAGAAACATTACATGGAGCAAGGATGAAAGGCAGGGGCTAGGGGTGCATGGATGTGCCTGGATGTGCCTGGATGCTAGACCTCTAGTGGACACAATGGAGAAATGCTTATGAAAACATGCAAACTCTCCATAGAGGTCTGTATGTACAGTCAGGGAAAAAGCTTCTGAGAAGTCTCTTCCAGAAGTTTATCTATTATTTGTTCAAAACTGATACCTGTCCCATTACTCAGTGCAGGGGACTCAGAAAATCAGTGCACATTGCCTAATTTTTAAACTAATCTTAAAATCATAATTGCTGTTCTACTTGAACAGCTGTCAGGACATTCTGCCAAAGGAAGGGATGAGAGGCTGGGTAGCAGCCCTGCAAAGAGAGTTCTGTGGGTTTGCATTGATGGCAAATTGAATGTGCATCAACAGTGTGCCCTGGCAGCCAGAAGGGCCAACTGTGTCCTGGGGTACATCAAGAACAGTATAGCCGGCTGGTCAAGGGAGGTGATTGATTGTCCCACTCCAGACTGCATTAGTGTGGCCCCACCTTGAGCATTCTGTGCAGTTTTGGATACCTCAGCATAAGAATGACATCAAGCCATTAGAGTGTGTCCAGATGAGACTGACCAAGATGGTGAAAGACCTTGAGGGTAAGACTTCTGGGGAGCAGCTGAGGTTACTTGGTTTGCTCAGCTTGGAGAAGACTGAGGGGTGACTTCATCACAGCCTACAAGTGCATCAAGGGGCAGCAGCAGAGGGAGAAGTGCTGATCTCTCCCTGGTGACCAAATGGAATGAAGCTGTGTCAGAGAAAGTTCAGTTTGGACATTAGGATAAGGTTCCTCAGGCAGATGGTAGTTGGTTGCTGGAACAAGCTTCCCAGGGAACCAGTCATGGCACCATGTCTGTCAGAGTTCAAGGGCCGCCTGGGTGACGTTCTTAGTCATATAGTTTATTTTTAGGTAGTCCTGTGAGGAGCAGGGAGTTAGACTTGATGATCCTTATGAGTCCCTTCCATCTTGAGATATCATATGATTCTACGATCCAAAGGAGCACACTTTGGCTGAAGAAGGCTGGAATGCAGTAGGATTTGGCTTGTCTTCCTATACAGCTGATGGCTGCTTTCAGCTACTGAGGGGAGGGTATTTAGGAGCTAGGAATTCTGCACTTGTAATTTGGCTTAATTTTATCAGAGAAGTTTCTACCTAGGATGCTCTAGCCTAGCTGTTTCAGGACTACAACAGGAAGGGACATGGGAAGAAATCAGGTAGGAATTAAACTACCACCACCAAAGCCCTTCAATTTACTACCGAATTAAAAATCAGATAAAGCCAAAAGCTTATGCAGTAGCATTAACTGGAGATCTTGAAAACAATCACATCTGGTGCATATTTTATTACTGCTAATACTAAAGATGCGTATCTTCTGTGGTATCACACCTCAATTATCTAAACAAATTTCGTCCTGGGAACATGAATCAATGACATGAAATGGGACACATGTCACAGTGCCACCCACTGCACTCAGTGTAAACGTTTAGATGGTCGAAACTGCTTATTCACAAATATTTTCATGCACAACTGACTTTTTCTTCTAAAATTATGTAAAATATTTTTAAGAAAAGGATGACATTGTATAATTTTATGAACGACATGAAAAGAAAGACAAGGAAGAATATTAAAAAGCTTAACTAAAACCAGCAAGTAGTTGAACTGAGGTAAAGTTAAAAGCAACTAACCCTTGTCACTGATTATAGGGCTAAAAAGCAGTACAAATGTCCAAGCCAAGAACTGACACCAGCAAAAGAGCCAACCATTATTCCTTGATATTTTGAAGTAGCTGTAATAAATGAGACTCAATAACCTGTTGAACTAAAGCAGAGAAAAAGATTAAGTTAATCAGTGTTCAATGTTTTTTCACATTTTTAGGGCTGTACTATTTTTTCCTGGTAGATGCCAGCTTGTCCTGTACAATCATTTAATAAAAAACGAACAGGAATAAATTCACTGTGGGAAGAGAGTTTGCATCCCTTCAGAAAATAAAAGCCTCGTATGTTGCAAAACCAATACACCCGGTAAGAGAGATGATAGGGTTTTGAGTTGATGATGTGTTCCCTAGTTTGAAAAGGCTGATAGTATACGGGAAACAAATTTGTAAGCCTATAAATGGAAAGTAGGCAAAATGTTTACTAAAAACTACTTCTGTAGAATGTTTTGAGACTGAACTCTTGAAGTAGTCCTATATCTAGACATTATTAATGTTACTGCCACCCTAAAAGTACAGGGCCCTGGTTGGAGAAGCTATACATGCAGTGCTGGGCTTATTTCAGAATGCAGGTCATTTCTGTAATGGCAGGCATTTCACAGCTTTCAAAATGAGGGCAGCATGAGGAAAAAACATGAAGAATCCCTTCTTTGCCTCTTTTTTCTAGAAACAAGTCAGGTAGCCTAATTCACTGATCCTGGCTGTTACTGTTTGTCTCCAAGAAAAACTGGAGCTAATCTGACAGAGAAAGAAGGTTTTGCAAGCTATATCACACCATGCCAATCAATAAAGCGCCAGGGTGAGCAGGTTAGGAGGGCTGCGGGTCTCTTATCATTGTCTGGTGCAACACACACCCTTTTGTACAGGGTGGGGAAGCAGCTAAGGACTGCATCAGCCCTGCACACCATTATCTGTGCCCACAGATGCAGGCCCAGGTCAGTGACATTTTCTTACTAGGTATTTGGCTTTCTGAGACAGGGACAGAAATTCCTACCCATTTTGGGCCAATACATTTAGGTGTAATAAGACTTGTAGGATACGGATTTTTTAACAGCTGCAAAACTTCTATTAGATCATTGCAGCAGCTACATAAACAAGGAGCAGTAAAAATCAAAATCAAATAATTTATATTTGCAATACTCACCACTTCGATAGCCCAAGGCTACAGCCAAATCCATGGAATTATAGCCAGCATCTGTTTCGATAGTTGGATCAGCACCACTTTCTATGTAAAACAGGAAAAGAAACTCATACTTCTGACAATGAGAACTGGCAATACTCAGTATTATTATTGATAATAAAGTTGAGACAGTCTGCTTACCAAGGAGAATTTTTACACATTTCACATGGTTCCCATGTACTGCATATAGTAGAGGTGTGCCTCCATTCTGCGAGTGCAAAGAAAAGCCTTAGAAACTTAATGATTGAGCAGTCTGCAATTGTAATTCATTAATACACCAGTATACTTCTATGTCTCAGTAAGAAACTTAATAGGTTTTATACAAAGGAGATTCTGTTTTGGAACTCCAATTTATTCTTTTTTTGTCTACTGTTTAGACTGCAAGCTCACCCTTCTAGAAGGACTCAGTGTTAGTCTTATTCTCTTTTTGCCAACAAGTCAGAACTAGTAAGGCAAACTTCTCTTATCTTATAGAAGTTTTGAAACTCAGGTTATTTTAGAAGAGGCAGAATAATTCTAAAACCCGAAACAGTGCTATGCCCTGGTCCAAATTTCTGACCAAAAGCACCCTCTGACATAAATTAGAGCTGGAGTCTTACCCAGTCGTACTCATTGACATCAACTCCACAGTCAAGCAGCATTTTGACAATATCTGTGTATCCTTTACTGCAAGCCAGTGAGAGGGCACTTTCTCGTCCTTTCCCCAAAATCTGAGGATCTGCACCCTGAAATTATTATAATAACAACAACAGCAACAACAAATCAAACTAACCACACTTTTTTTAAATGTGAGATTTTACACAGAACTTAACTAAAACTTTTAAGTGTATAGCAGCTTTGAAAAAAAAAATCAGAAGGCAAACTGAACTAAAAAGTAAATAAATTTAAAATGAGGTGTGTTTATTTCCTTACATTTTGGAGGAGAAATTCCACTATTGCTATCTGCCCATGAGCTGCAGCCCACATCAGAGGGGTAAATCCTTCTTCATCCTTATGGTTGATTACATTTTCTGTGTAAAGATAAATACGTAATTTAGTAATCCCTTTCGCTAATGCACAGTAGAAACTCGTGAAATCCATTGATGATTTCATGGTGAATGGACTGAGGTATCAGTGTGGCCTAAAAGTCATTCTTACCTTAACTTTAAAAACAAAATTCTATTGCAATGATGGTGCAAATATCTTTGTCCAGAAAGAAAAAACATTCAACTAAGCAAAGTAAAATTTAAGAATTGGGTTTATTAATTTTTTAAGATCTATAAATCAAGCTCTGTTTCTACTCAGAAGTGTTACAAGTTGTCAGTAATCTGGGCTTTATCTTTGGAAAAAAGAAAAGGGCTGTTTGAAAAACTAAGAGGGACAGTCTGTACTACACTGCAGAAAGTGGTGTTTGGTTGTTTTTTTAAAACAGAGTGAGCCACAAATTCTTAAAAGGAATTATCTTGTAAAGCAGTATAGATAGTGTATCTCCATTCCCCCAGAGTTCATGTAATCAATAGGGTGTTTTGTGGAAACAATTAACGTCTACTTCTAGTGCAGCTGAAAGAAGGAAAAAAAATATTTTAACATTTGGCTGGCTGAAATAGTTGAGTTGGAATTTGTAAAAAATATTTAAGTACTTAAAAAAATCCAATGCTTATCACAGCAGTAGAGTATGCATTTTTTACTGATACTCCAGAATCAATTTGTTTGCTACATACATTACAAAGTATATAGACTCAAGAGACTCATTACTTGCTTTCCAGCAAAGTAATTGCTTGCTTTTCAACAAAGATGCACTGAAAGCATGGCTGATTACTACTAGTATAATAATATACTACTAACAATATATTCCCTTATACTATTAACAGTATATTACTCAATTCAATACGCTATGCATTATGGACATGCAAATGTCACACTGAAAACTATCACCCAACTCAGACTGAGCAGGACTATTATACCGTGGGTGTGAGCCATGGTTTAAATTACCAACATACAGCTCTATACATTGATTGATTAAATAAATTTGGAAAGCCATTGTTTTAAATTACAAAGATAGTAACAATTAAAAAGTAACAACTCTTCTGATAGAACAGATTCTCCTCTCTCATTGATATGGATTACATATATAGCTGGGGAGCAGGGGGAGGAAGTGATTTACCTACAACTCCTATTAATGCTAATGTTTCACTAAAACCCAAATCATAGGAAACAGTGAATAAAAGACAGATGAGAAACAAAAGTCCACATCTGCAAAGAACAGATATGTGAAATTTCCTTCAATTTGTTCCAGAATTGAGGATTTTTTTAAAATGTTTTTTTTTTTGAAAAGTAAAGCACAACAGGGTATAAATGCCCCAAAGAAAAGAGATTTACTCTCCTTCTGTCTCACCTTGTTCAATACGTGTGGCCAGATACAACATTTCTCCCTGAGCAGCCAGCTGATGAACTGATAAAGCTGAAAAAAAGGAAGCAAAATCATGTGTCACACATACCAGTTTTCATTCTGCTCTATTTGGAATTTGGCTTAACCAGTACAGAACATGGATTTGAGAATGTAGATAAGTTTCACATTATACTCTGAACTAGAATCACTATTTTAAAAAGTTTTCAAAACGTTCCACAGGTTTATGGAATTTTTTAACCAAGGTAGAAATTGTACTAAAAAGCAGAAGACACTTCCCATACTGACTCTTTACAAGGCAACATGATCCCTGATGCTTGGCCAGCAATCCAAGATCATATTAAGAACATTTATGTAATGAAAATAAGCATCTTTTGGTAAATTGAGGTTGTGTAGTTTTAAAATGATACCTAAGAGATCACATGTCAGGAGACCTGTCACACTGCTCAGTGAGCCTGTGGCACAACTCTCACTCACTACAATGTAGAATACATCAGGCATTACAAAACTATTAGAAGACATGACATCTGCATCTACATCTACAGGGGAAAAAATGGATTGTGGGCTTGTTTTAAACTTATCAAAGCTGGTCTTCAATACCAAGAGCTTGGAAAAGTGGTCAGGAGGGAATATATAATAAATTATCCACATTATATAACAACAAAATTAGCTAACGAGTACATACCGTTATACATACATACATAATACATACCATTCACTGTCCTTCTCCTATTCGCTATATGAAACATTAAAGTTTTATTTTTTTCAGAAAGACTGTCTATTTTGTTCACGGCCTATGCTGCAGCTCCAGATTAATTTTTCCAATGCAAGTGGCCTTTTTTTCTAACATTGAATTTATAATATATAGATGAAATAATTTATAAATGAATTACACAGAATTAATTTATAAAGAAAATACTTACCAATTAACAAAACCCCATAAATTGTACTGCCTTTCAAGATATGTGGCAATCATGACATTTGCAGTATGAGTTTGTAGCACTTACCAATCATCTAATTTTAATAAATTTTACAAGATGCGCAGGTTCTTAGAACAAGTACAAGAAGCACATTGACTTAAAGCTCAGAGAGGATCAGAAAAATCTTTACCTATTTTTTTTTTTAATCAAGAATTGGATCCTTTCTGGAAAAGACACTTCAGACATGAATTCAAAACAGCAGGTGGATTACTATTTCACAGTTGGAACCATGTGAATTAGACAAGACTATCTCGATGTTTTCTCCTTATATAGAAGTTTATGAAAACACCGAAGGAAAAAAATAGAAAAATCTGTCAGCCATCAAACACACAGTCCACAAAATAATTAACAGTAAGTCAGGATACTTACAGTTTACAAGCAGAGGTGTTGTAGAGACTTCATTTCCCCTGTGTTTGTTAGTTAGGGTAGTTGATTGTTTTATTGGTGAGAAATGCTTAGTAGTTGATGGAGTATAAACATGTCTTACTTGGATACCAGGGGAAGGAGATGTGTGGCTGTTGCATTCAGCTACATTGAACACAGAAAACGGACAGGATTTCAATACTAGTAAGAGCATTAAAAGCAAGCCACAGATTTTAAGTCAAACTAGAAGGCACCAGTGTCACAAGATCTTTAAAACCCATGTTAAGTAAGCTTTGTGACATGTGCTTTTCCACTGTGTATTGTCAAACAGCTGTTTTCATTTCTAGCATAAAACAATGCTGCTACCCACATGTTCAGTACTCAGTACAGCCTATGTCACACAAACTGGGTGTCTAAATGAGGTTAAGCCTTCATCTAGATTTTCAACAGTGCCTGGCATGGATTTATCAGGTACGAGAGCCCCACACAGCCTACCACATCCTTATTAATGCTCTCCAGTGCAATAACATGATGCAGCTTCAGTCAGCCATGCAGTCAAGTCAGGTAACTGCTCAGATCATCCCTTTGCCTGCTCCCCAAGACTACCGTCACTAATTTTCTTCACCAGGACTTTTTACACTTCTGCTGGATAAATCTGTAACTGCATTAGGAATGCCTTATTAATACTTTTCCAGCAGGAAGAGAGATATTCCACAGTAACTTCCATAAAATGCAACAGCAAGTCACCACTTAGAATGTGGAAAGTTATGCACTGCTGCTATGTTAATCTGCACTAACTTTCCCAGCTTTCTATTAGAATCTAATGGCATGTTATTACAGAATACATACATTATCTTGGCTTCTGCTTCTCAAAAGTAACTATTAGCTTTGAGAAGTACCTGAGGAGCCAAGTAATTTTTAAGAACCTAACTGATTAAATACTAGAAATACATATTGAAAGATTAAACTCCATTACTGGCTAAATTGACATCAGTGTGCAACAGTAATTAATGACTGAAAAGTAATTAACAGGCACACTGAACTCATACCATAGAGAAACTCACGATCATAAATGCAAGTGCAAATTCAGGGAGACAACCAATTACAATTAGAAGGTAACTGGATGAAAATGAAATTACATTTTGTTTGCTAATCAAATTGCTACAGCTGACTTGATCAAACTAAGAGACCTACCAGGGACTTTTGACCTGTGGTACCTGGATCTGCAGGACTACTTCTAAGGGGTTCACAAATATCACCTAAGAAAAAACACCCTACTGCTGATGGGTCTAAATCTGCCGTTCAGGTCTGCAGCTCCACTAGTAAGCACTTAGGGCCTGCAAATCAAAAAAGTTTGAAAATTACAATGTCTACAATGAACTGCAGCCAACAATACAAATCAGAAAAGCCATCAAAATTGACAGTAGGCCCGTGTTGTAGAAAACAGGTCAAATTCAACCTCACGAAAAGATACATCACTAAGAGTCTGAAATATGACAGCAAGCACCAGAAATCACAATTGTTAAGGAGAAATAGATAGAAGTCCTAATTCTGTTCTCTATCAGCATGTTCAGCCACGAAGAAGCACGGGTCAGTTCTGATGAAGCTGACCAGCAATGGCTGGAGATCCAGCTGCAGCGATCCATAACTGGAGTAACATTCACTTTCAAGTCATGTGAAGCTGCACTGGCAAGCCAATCACTGCAACAACTACAAGCTTTGTACATCCACACTGATAAAACAAAATCAATGGTATGAGCTATGCTATTTTGCCAGTGGTACCACTGAAAGGATAACACATGCTGCAGGAAGCTACTGAAGTTGAAACGATCATACAGTGCTTTCAGTAGTGTTCTGCAGATAAATGCTCTCAACAACATGTAGCATGTGGTAGAACATGATGCACAAAACAAGTAAACTTGTTTTCGTGATCAGCATCAGCTCTTATTAAATTAATCAGAGACTTTTTGTGCCACTACTTTTTCAATTAAAAAAAAACCAACTAAAATGTTTCAAAAATAATATGGAGGAAATTAGTTTTATAATAATAATTCATTAAGTATATAATAAAAATAGATGGGTAAGAAATTCTAGACAACTATTATTGATTAACACATGTATAAGGCAGAGGCTTTTTTTTAAAAAAAATAGCAGTTTAACAGGATGACACAGTTCACACACAACAATTTGTACCATAAAGTTCAACCTTTAAATAAGACAGATGCCACTTCAAGGTCAGAGTTAACTTGGTCTTGAATATTTTTACTGTCCTCTTCATTCAAAGATTTCACAAATCGTGAGCAGACATTCATATCAAATCTGTTGGGCAAAATGAATTTCATTCCCATGGTAACGCTCTGAGCTGGGCCTTCCTCTGTGCTAGAGTCAAGCTGATGCTCCACTTTGATGTCCGGCATGGACGGAAGGCTATAGCTAGCAGTACATTCTTCCACAATTAACTGGGCTGCAACGTCTAAGTTTGTTGAAGATGCCATGGCCCCTGCCATGTGAAAATTTTATGCAAAAAGTTTCTTCATGGCTTCTAGCCACTAGCAGTTCCAGCCAATGAAGCTGTACCTAGAGAGCCAGATGTTTAAATAACCTGAAACTGAAAACATTTAACAGGTTAACACCACTCTGGTGAAGTAATGCATAAAAATATACCAAGCTTGGCTTCACTGAAGCTGATGGAATTTGGTTCTGATAGTCCAAACCGTGGTGAAATACCAATCTCACTGCTGTCACAAGCAGTACAGGTCGTGGGTATGGATTTAAATGGAGGGGACCAAGCCATCCATTCAAATTTGATCACGTGGATATTTAAGCCAAATTCCATAATGAAGCCACTAGGAGCTCCTTCTAAGTAGTGTTTCATAGTATTAGTTCGGTTGCAACAAAAAAAAAAAAAAAAAACAACAAACCCAGCACAACCAACCACGTTTATACCAAGACAGGAGAAAATGACTTTATTTCCTAAAAACATGAGACGTGAAGGAAAATTTACAGTGGCTTTATGCCATTTTATGACTCTTAAGCCTTTCCATAACCTGAGTAAAACAAATGTCTTCTACCTTATGCGCGGGAAAACAACTCCATCTATGTCGGTGACACAGAACACCCCAATTCACCCTGACAGCGCCCGGGCAGCCTAACGCCACGCGGGGCTCCGCGGCCTGGCAGCGCCATGCCCTCCTTCAGCCCGCCCTCGCCCCTTAACGCAGGCCGCCGCCACAGGCACTGCGGAGAACACACCGCTCGGGACCCGCCGGCGGGGAGGGAGGGACGGAGGGAGGGAGGGAAGGAAGGGCCGGGGCGGGCCGCGTCCCACGGCATCACCTCACCTCGGCACCACGACCTCTCCCGCTGACAGTGAGGCGGACGTGACGCCCTACAGCCCCGCCGCGGTGGCCATTGGCTAGGTGAGAGCCGCCTTTTGATGACGTGTACGCACACGGCTGGGGTGGCTCGCTCGGTGACAGGCGTGGGCCGCGCCATCACGGCAGCGCGGAGGGGTCAGCGTGGGCCTCGCTCCTGCGGAGGCGCGGTCTCCCCGCTCCCGGACAGCCATGGCCTTGTACAAACCAGTGGTGGTTCAGACCTGCCCCAGGCTCGGGGAGAGGATCACGCAGGACACGGTGTACTGGGAGGGGTACAAGGTAAGGAGGCAGCTCTCGACCGCGCTGGGGCAGCGGGCTGGTCGTGCTCCGATGCGGCTGGCGCTGGCGCTGGCGCTGGGTCTGTGCTCGGCCTTGCTCGGCTCTTGGTTAGAAGCGGTTCCTTAATACCGTGTTAAAGCTACTAAACGGCTTCCTATGCCCAACCGGCTGACCTTTGCCCAAAATTGGCCCAGCAGGTGTATTTTTTTGCCCTAAAATATATTTTTCTACTGTTTTCGTGCTATTGATAAAGTAGTTTTAATCTTGTGTGAGTGAATACGGTTATTTTTTCCCCGTCGGAACACGTAATTAATGGGTTAGTTGTAATGCGCGAATTGAAAAAAAAATACGTGAGCAGAAGTAACCTGAGAGAAGAGAAACTCCATAGGGTTGTATTTAAAATTGATTTGGGTCTGAGTGGAGTTTGGACCTCTCTGCAGGAAGAAGAAATTTTGCTTTGCTGTTTTGATTTTTGATGGTGTGCTTGTATGTATTTAATGATCTTCATTGCAATTGCTTTAGGCACCTCTTCAGATAAAGGAGTTTGGTGCAGTAAATAAAATTGACTTCTCACCGGTTCCTCCGCGTAATTATGCTGTCACAGCTTCCTCAAGGGTAAGCAGCTTCTCTGAGGTTTTCACGTTTGTGTCTTTCAGTTGGTATCATATGAGCAAACTTAACGTCTTCTTGTTGTACCAGATCCACATTTATGGTCGTTACTCTCACGAACCAATCAAAACGTTTTCTCGCTTCAAAGATACTGCTTATTGTGGCACATACAGAGATGATGGCAATCTGCTTGTTGCTGGCAGTGATGAAGGTATCATTCGCCTCTTTGACATCAGTGGAAAAGCACCTCTGAGACAATTTGATGGTCATACCAAGTAAGACAATGTTGGGTTTTCCTGTATGTGCATAAACTTGTTTGCTGTGTTTGCATATGTTTCCTTTGCATTTTGCTGTAAATCTGAATAATACTGGTCTGTGTTGCTTGTTACTGTTTCTTGTAGATACTACTCAAAAGTAGATTTTTAAATTGAATTAAAAATTGGAGTAACTTTTAAATTCCAAATATGAATTGAGTACCTGGAAAAATAAATTTACTTTCTAATTTAGGTAGGTGTCTGTTAATATGTTGTGTAGGCACAGTCTTTTGACTCCGTGGCACTGATGAGCACACTTAGACAGTGATAGTACACAGACAGCTTAAGTAACAAATGCAGCACTTACAGCTTTTGATTGGACATCTAGTAGACCTATACAGCTTTTAAGGCCAATCATATCAATGCTTAAGTAAGCATCGGTCAGCATGACTCTTTTCTGGCTGGAAATATAAAAACTAAAGTGTAACTAACCTCTAAAGTGAGGCTTTATAACTTCCAGCAGTGAGGACTTTGCATGTTTAAGTTAGAATACATAATAAGTAATCTCTTCAGACAGACTGACTTTTCTGGAAACAAGTACATATTTTAACTTTGGATATTGTGGACTTTGGTTTCTAGACCTGTTCATGTAGTGGGTTTCCTGTCTGATAAATACCGAATATTCTCTGGTGGTGATGACTATTCATCAAAGCTGTGGGATATTCCAAGTGGTTCAGAAATAGTCTCATACAGAGAAAATACTGACTACGTTAGATGCGGCTGTGCAAGTAAAGTGAATGCAGACGTCTTTGTAACAGGTTTGATTTTATTTTATCAATATGCTTTTTTTGTACTGAATTGAAGAAAAATGCAGAAATAGTTTTTGATACAGTAGGATCTCGCTTACTATATTTTAAACATGGAGGATCTGGCTTCCTGCTTGGTGCCTCCTTTGCTGTTACTTTTTTGCTTGCTTTTTAAGCCTGACACTGATGTGTAGAGAAACTCAGAATTTCCCTAATTTTTAACATATCTTTGCTTTAGCCTGTTAGGGTTAACAGTGGTTCTGACTGGCCTTTGAAAGGTTTTAGAAAATTCTGTGAATATATACTTTAGTTGCAGTTGACTGAAGGTTTCCAGAGGAGGACACTAGTTCTGTTGTAGTTCGTACAGACGAAAACTCACAGACTCAAAAATGGAAGGTCACATGAGTTATTTGAAACCACTTGCTAGCAGTAGCTTTCTGTTAATGTCTGGTAAATTCCTAGAGAAAAAGTGGTATTCCTTACTTCAGGAGGCACACGAGACTAAAAGTTTCATCAGGTTGGCTAAATTTACTGTTGCAAATACACTTGATTAATGGAAGGGAAATAAAATTAAGACTTAAACTACTTTTAAGGCCTGACGTATTGTTGGTGCTAGAATTAGAAGACTTATGTTGCCTAAAGGCTGTAAATTAACCAAGGTAAACCAAAAGGTGTTCTAAGTGCACAGTTTAAAACTGTTTCTGTTTGGCAGGAGCTCCTTTAGATTGTAGCACATGGTTGTTTTAGTTCATGAAGTAATTGAAATGATGAAACTGAAGCTAATAATGGTGTTGTTTGCAGGTTCCTATGATCACACTGTTAAACTGTTTGATGCCCGAACAAAAAGTAGTATCATAACAATAGATCACGGTCAGCCTGTGGAGAGTGTGCTTCTGTTCCCTTCTGGTGGGCTTCTAGTATCTGCAGGTACTTCAGCAAAATCAGATTTCTTTTCTGTGGCCCTAATGTACTTGAACTGCTTCCTTCTAGTATTTTCATTTAGTAATGAGGTGGTAAGTGACATAACAGCTGGATTTCTCAAAGATCTTTAGGAATCAGTTGATCTGGAGGGTAAAAGTAGGGGTCTTTTTTGTCTCTGATTAGATATTACTGTAGTTGATCCAAAAAAATCCACAAAAAACCCTGATGTTTTTAATGGCAAGATACAGACTTTAATTAACCCAGTGCTAAAGTAAAGGAACTTTAGGTACTTTTGGTAAGAAGTACATTGAATCATTCGGCTGCAGAATGGCGTGAAAAAGAGCATGCTTATAATGTGTCTTGTCCCAGGAGGTAGTCATAATGGGTGGTGAGTAGGTACAGAAAACAAGATGTTACAAAGGAGGCACTATAACTGTGTGAGAACTTCTCCAGAGAAGTGGAAATATGTATGTATATCAAACTGTTTTGTGTGTTTCCTTCTCACAGGAGGTCGATATGTCAAAGTTTGGGATGTGCTAAAAGGTGGACAATTACTAGTATCACTTAAAAATCACCATAAAACTGTAACTTGTTTATGCCTGAACAGCTCTGGACAAAGGTTATTGTCAGGATCCTTGGACAGGTTAGTGTATTTTGCCGCAATTTAAATTCTTCAGGACCATCATGGTTTAAGACCAGCCAGTAACTCAGCACCACACAGCTGATTGCTCACTCCCTCCTTTTCCACCCCACTTCTGGGCAGGAAGGGGAGGAGAACTGATAGAATGTAAACCCAACTGGTTGAGATAAGAACAGTCCAATAACTAAAGTATAATACAAAACTACTACTACTACTACTAATGATAAGGGAAATAACAAGGGGAGAGAGTATAAAACTAAAAAGGGAAGGGGAGAAAAAACAATAAGCACAAGTACAATTGCTCACCACCCATTGACCGATACCGAACCCGACGGAGCAGCAATCTGGGCCTTCCGGGTGACTTCCTCCCGTTTATATACTGGGCATGACGTGTTTCACGGAATACTCCTTTGGCTATTTTGGGTCAGGTGTCTTTGTCTCTGCTTCCTCTGGGCTGCTTGTACCCTTCCTCACTGGCAGAGCATGAAACTAAAAGTCCTTGAGTAGAGTAAGCATTACTTAGCAACAACTAAAACATTGGTGTGTTATCAGCGTTGTTCTCAGATTAAATCTGAAACACAGCAGTGCACCAGCTAATAGGAAGGAGAAAAATAACTTTTAAAGCTAAACTCAGGACAAGGACTTTTTTAATTTTGAAGTTATTATACATCAAGTGTGAATCTGTGCATGATTTTTTTTGCTTAAGCACTTGTAACTGTTAATATAAAGATATAATCTAACTGAAACTGTGTGTTGGGGTCAAGGTACATATTGCAGTATCCATTAACCTTTTCCTCCCATTAACTTGAATGTCAGTAAGGGTTGCATGTGCCATTTGGGAATCTCTGTATGTGGAACTTCTGAATAACCATTCGTTTTTTTTTTTTTTTTTTTTTTAATCTCTAAACTGACCCTTGCAGTCTCTATAAAGTACCTATTCTTAACTTTAATACAGTTTAAATAACTGAAAGGGTGTTAGTATTCATCTTTAAAGAGCCTGGGTTTTGTGTCTCTCTGCCGTTGCTTCTTGTAGCCAAAGGGCATAGCTGAAATATCCTTGCTTTTTTGTTTGGGTTGAGTTGCTGGGTACTGGTGTTCCATCTATTTGTCTCTGAGACATTAGAAACACGAAGTGGTCTGAAATGTCAGTGGTCTGTTTTCTCCCTCCTTGCCTCCCTTCTGTACTTCCTAGGCTTCCTCAGGCTTTATTGATTACAAAGCATAAACTAGAGGATCCCACTAGCTGTGCAGCTGTTTGTCATTCAGTGCTCACAACGTTAAAGTTCAAACTTGTTGTAAGAGGATGTTTTGTTTTCTCATTTGTTAAGGTATTTCCCATCTTCAGTCAAATCATTAAAGAGCAGCCATGTACAAGAATAGTTATGGATTTACTTCCAGAAATTGTCAATAGATCTTAACATTTGAAACTTAAGAACAAATTTCAAGAAATACTACTGTCTTAGTGTTTCCTGTTAAGCGTTGCTGAAGTCAGATAGTCACTGCATATGTATTAAATTTCTTCTGCTCTTGCCTCA